GATAGGTGAGAAGAACGGGAAAAAATGTATATAATCACCATGCCTGCTGCGCGGTACAATTTACTTTCGCTTTCGTGAATAACGGTGACTTCACTTGACCACAGTGACTGTCTTGTGTGATCTTATGCAAAATGTTTCTGATGAAATCTATCTATGAACTTTTCGTCAGATTTCTACATTAATTTGCAATCTAATTTTTTTTCAATATGCATACAAATATGTTGTAGATTGCCATATCTTTCGCAATTTGATAAACTTTAACATTAAATATTTTCGTAATTATAATAAATTTTAAACAAAATTTGTGTAAAGCAAACTCTAATCAAAAGTAAATAAATATAATAATTATTCCTTATCATTTACCTCTATCTGAAAATTTATCGTAAAAAATCGTAATTTTATTGCTAATTTTACAATTTTTATTTTAGCAAAATCTCAGTACAAAAAAAATATCAATTTTTTTACCACAAATCCTTTAATTAATTCTATAAACTATAAAAATTTGATCGATTAATTATTTTGTTATATACAAAATTTGAAATTAAATTTACTTATACATTTGCAAAAAAAAAACACTGATTTAAATATCAGCACATTTTTATTTCATTATTATTTGTATTTCCGTTATATAGAATTTAAACACTAACTTTTACCTCAACTACGAGATGAAAAGACTGAATAGCGAATGTCACGTGCGACTGACGCAACTCGAGAAATTTTCGTGGCTTGGTGGTCGGCCAATGAATATTCTGTTAAAAATACAACACGCAGGCACCTGTTTCGTGCAACAAATCCTATTCATTTCTATTTCGCGCCGCATTTAATACTAAACGCGCACATTTATGTTCTCATTTAATTATGAGTTTCATTAAAAAATTGCGCAACATTTCTATTTTCTTGCATACTTTCCCTTTATTATTTTTATTGCTGCGTCGTTTTTGACAGCAAAATTTAAAGCGACCAGTGAAGATAATCGACACAAAACCTTTAAAGTTTAAAGAAGATAAGTGTATACGGAAGGCCATTAACTTATCTGTAACCGATTTCTTGTACGAAAAAATAATGCTATTTTTTAAACAAGCAAAATGAATAACAAAAGTCAATTGTATTTGCAGCGTACGCCGATAACTCTCACAAAAAACGCAGTTATTCAAAACGACAATTCATTCAGTTTGACATATGGTTTGACATATGGTAATGGCACATAAAAACGATGACTGTTACAGAAATTTTGTAAAAGTGTCACTGCGAATACTGTTTTTGATAATATTTCTTTCAGTTGCACAAACTCGTGCATATAAAAGCTCATTTGATTTCAGTTAATGAGAAAATCGCAATATGTATATAGATAATATATTACGCATTGGACAAAGTTCACCTGAATGAGTTCTTCAGGAAAAGGTAAGCACATATTCGATAGCAAATAAATTTTAAATTGCAATCAAACAATAAATAGTTTAACTATGTAATATATACTCTTATAACGCAAGATAATATATTTATAATATGTCCAACTTATAATACAAATTAATTATCATTATATTCACATAAACAGTACAATACATTTATGAAATCCATTTATTTTTAAAACTCATTTATCTTATCGTAAAAAAATTCACGTGCAATTTATCGATAAACTAGCTTACGTATTTCATAATAACTTTTCTACAAAGGGGTTCACGAGTATCCATCGCAAAAGTGACGATTACAAGGTATGACGACAATATCTTGGCATTTATCGGATAAATAAACAGGAACCGATATTGACGTCAGATCATTAATATTGACGTAATATGGAAATAATAGACGATAAAGGAAATCACGTACACGTGCGGTGTCGGTAAAAGAATTGATGATATTAATTTTTATCTTTAGAAGTTAACACTAAGAAATAGTAATAAATTTAATTATTACCGAAAAAATAATAATCGGAATAAATTGAATTCAAACGCAATGAAGCATGTAATACGTCATGACAAGGAATATAAAACAATACGCATCATGAAATGCAAACACGTGACGATTACGTAACCGTCAAGTCGGTCACCACATACAATTACAGCGAAAGATTTATATTTTACGAGACTAAACCAGTATAAATAGTGTCCTCACATTAACTCGACTTCTTTATCGAGAGCACGTGATAAATATATGCGGAAGAAGAAAACGCGACAAGTAGTTAAAACTTCGAGATAAATCAGAGAACAATTCAAAGTTCACGTTTCAAAGTTCCAGACAATTCAAATTCAGATGCTTTGTTTATTTATCGAAGAAATTTTCTTTCATCATGTGTATTATATTCTTTAATATCAGTCGTTTGCCTTCACACAACGATAACGAGAGGAATAGCATTTTCGAAATAATCATTTTCGAACAAAAATATTTCGTCGTTAAAATTTTTCCATTTAACAAAAACTTTCAAAATTAAATTTAGCCGATAATTTTTTCTAACATTTTATGCTAACGTATAGATTTACGCAATCTATCTACAAATAAGAAGCAAAAATTTTAACTTAGTTAACTCAGTGGTCATTAAATTGCATTTGTAGTTGACTGACAATCAAGAATCTCACGTTAAAAAAATAGTAGTATCAATACTTCAATACAAAGATATTTCATATCCAATCAATCAAAGTTCTAGTATTAAATAAATATCAGATTTATTTCAAAATTATTAAAAGTCAAAAAAATTATATAAAATAATATAAATAATTGTATAAAATCATTGTAAGATGCCATGATTTTGAAGCACTTAGTTAAACTAATAGGCAAACAATCTCTATGAACATCAAGCGTCGCAAAAGAATAACATGCGATAATATCATCTACGCAACAATATATTTCTTAAATACTTAACTATTATCTAACCCAAATGTTGTTAATTGTTACGACGGATACTGCTAGCAAAATAATTATGATAATCAAGTGAGTGTTCAGTATATCGCGATGACTTTTATCATTATTGTTCGTAAATTATGGGAAATAATATTTATTGTTCGAACGTCATCGACATTAAACGGCAAATGATAAGAAATCATAAGAAATAGGTTACTATCTCTCTGCTGGTATCCGCTTCTACATTTCTCTACAAAGAAATGCGTGGAATATAATTCTGATTTTTTTTATCTTATTCTCAAATATAAAAAAAACATCTGAATTCTGTTTTTACAATTTACATCATGTATCGACCTCGAATAATGCGAAATAGCAAGCATTGAACCGAGTACTTTCCATCCACCAAAATTTATCGTTTTATACAAAACTGGCGAAAAGTGAAAGTCGTTTTCACCTTGAAATACAACAAAAATGAAGGTATTTATTGTCTTCAGTTCATTAAAACAGATGTTGTTACCTGGAAAACCTCGTAAAATATCTGCGAAGGTTTATAGCCTACAACCTCGAATTCTTTGTACTGGTTTTTTACAGACACGATAAATTGCACAACCTCGTTTAGATTCTACAATCGCCGCCCTCGGTAAAAGTCTGTCCGTTGCAACAGTTCATGAATGACAGAGTCACGTTTTGGCTTCTCTAACGAAGAAATTCTGCTGTGGAATGTTCGAGATAAATTGCACTCCTATGCTATACTTGCACATAATTGCATTTGCAAATTGCAATTATAAGATATTAATAAAATCATGTTATTTGGGAAAAAATTTTTTATAACTCCTTCAATAAATTAAAAAGTAATAAAATAATCCAAATCGCGTGTACAATATTTCAGTCTACATATGACTTAATCTATTTTTTTCCAAAAATTAATAATAATACTAAGGCTCCAATAAATTAACAAATAATCTTGGGAGAAAAAGATCGTTGTTAGGTGTTCGTGCAAAAATATTTTTTTTCCAATTTTTTCTTTTACGTAAAATTTCTGTAGAGAAAAAACGATAATATGATTAATTGAAACATTTTATTTTATCGAAAAAATTAGTATTATTTATCAAAATTGATTTAATTTATTTAAAATTAATTTATCAAACTAAAATCGTTCACAAATTAATATTACGAACAACAGTTACAAAATAATCAGAAAAATGCACTTTGCGTTTAATTTGCGTTACTACTTTATTTTCCGATTATCGATTTTCCTTTCATCGTATTGCGTAGCTATAAGCAATTCATACGATGTAATTTACGCAGTATAAAAGCAATGATGTAAAGCATCTCTATTTTCAGTACCTAGCTACAGATATAAGTATTGCAAGAAATACTTGGGTACAATGTATCTAGTTAAAGCATTTACATTTAGATACATTGTATCCATTTTTGTTTGATTTTAGCATGTATAAAAATCAATCAATTATAAATTAATATTTGATGTTAAATTAGTTAAATGACAAATAAATAATTTTAAAAAATTAAAATAGATATTAAATAATAGTTTTAAATCGATTTTAATGTCGAAGAATATGTAAAAATGTATATAAACACTTAAAAAATTAATTAGAATGTAAATTACGAGTTGCAGAAAATACCTAAATATTACTCAAAAATACACTTATATAAAAATGTTTTAAGCTGTGTTTTAAATCTTTACATCGTTAAGATCCCACACAGCACGCATATTCAAAAGATGTCCAGAACATTCTGAAGATATTTTTAAGAAATACGATATTTTCGGTATGGACCTTTGACCATATTCCAGATATGCATGCTGTGCGGGCATATAGAATAATTTAGATTTTTCGGTCCCAAGTTTGAAAAATATATATCTCTATTTGATGCTTTTTGAATACAATACAACTATAATAATTTAAGAACATTTTTAATAGATGAGCAATGGAAAGTGATTGGCTATTACATCGTATTGTTTTTTACCGCATAAATTGCAACCGCGTTTACATAAGAACTATAACTTCATTTTCCGTAAAAAAACGACAAATTTTTTAAATTAAAATATATGGCAAAAATTACTCCAACCTAAAAACATTACAATATTTAGTAAATCAATAGAAAATATAAAGATAACAGAAGAGCCGAGCACAGTTGTTCGCACATGTGACTCAATCAGTTAATTCGAAAATTGAACCATAGCAACGATAGGAATATCCCCGTTTATTTCGATTATCTTTGACCTAAATTTTGATTGACAGAATTTGATCTTTGTAAAATAAACAGATGAAACATATAGATAACTACTCCATAAGTGAAAGAATAGCAATGTACCCGAAAATAGACTAAATTAACAATAAAAAAGATATAAATAACATAACACTGAATAATTTTTCTCTTTTAACCAACCATAAAATTTATACGAGTAGAAAATCGAAACGGTCCTATTTAAATTCGCCTGATTGACTAATTCACACGCCCCATTACGTTTGTTTCATGTATTTTGTAAATAACAAAATCTATTTAATTAAATAGATAAATAGGGTGATTAAATCTATTCGAATAACAATTATTTGCCTTACGGCATCATAAATAGAGACGTCTGTTGCGAAAATTCTGTTTCAAACCACATTAAAAACTCTCGGGCTGTAAACAGTTGAAATATTCGTTAGTCATTATATATACAACGATAATTACAGTCGTGCTTTCTTCTCTCGACCCGAGAGTCGTGAATGGAAAAAAAAACTCGACTGAGCCGGTCGATAACATTCGACGATAAGAGCGCACCAGCGGCAACACGGGGGCTGGTGTGCACCACGTGCTGGCCGTTACGCGGGGTCGCAATGTGACAACCGCCATTTTCCCGAAGCGACTCGTGCGCGTGACTCACCTGCGAATCGGATCTTGATGAGGTCCAGCGGATGCAGCATCAGGGTCGAGACGACACCACCGGAGATGCCCGCGACGAAATATTCATACTTGAAGTTATTCAGGACGTTGAGCTGGCGCGGTGCACCCGGCGTGCCGCTACCCTTTATCGCCGACATGTTCCTCGCTGACACGCTATCGCGCTGCTCGCTACCGTTCGTTACCGATCTGTCGTCGGCAGCAATCGATTCCGCATCCTTGCCAATGCTAGCAACGCGCGCCTGCACTCTGCGGCATATCTCTTGGTCCGCCGGAGGCACTGTCGTCGAGCTGTCGTAGCGTCACACGTTGCCGAAATTCGCCCGCAGGCCGATCCACGCTTTCTCCGTTCGCTTGCGATCACCGTTTCGCACAGCTGGCTCACGGCCGATTATGCAACACCGACAAATCACACTGCGCCGCGTATGCCGAACGCCACCATACTGGTCGACCGGGCAGCTACGAGCGGTTCTCCCAGATGCGAGAGGAAATTTTGCGCGTGCGCAATGATACGAATGCTAGCAGACACACTCGCTTTTCTCACAATCAGCTGTGTACGCGGCATCATGGCACGAGCGCTCGCGGAAATATTCGACAAGCACATCGCGGCAGAATTCAAAGTGATGCGTGCAGTTCTGTAGATACATTCTCTAAAATAATTAAATATTAATTAAATTATATATTTCTGTAAATAAAAAAATATTTATATATCTCCTTCATGTTTCCTCCTCATATTTATACTATACTTAGTTAATATTTTCTGTTTTACATAATATAAATGTTCACTCATTTCAAGCTTTAATTAAAATTCTGCATAATAAATAGCTAAGCCGAAACAAGTAACCAACGAAAGTTCTGCAATAAAAAAACACACAAACGATGATTAGGTTTTTCCGTCGGCTTATCTGTTTTGTTCGCGATAGGCGACGGTACGCACTCATAATCACAAATGAACGATATGAAGGTTGGTGAGCAAATCGCTTGATAAAGGTTTTCTTATCCGTTGTCACTACTAAGTGTATCCCAGTATCAGTCTCACTTTGCCGACAGATAGCGGATGTTCGCGCGGATTCCGCTTGCGGAAGTATTGCTATTGAGCAATACTTAAGCTTCGATCAGGAAAAATACCGGTAAGCAAAAGACTATCTTAACTAATAACTGACAACAAAGGAAACATTGTACCTCTTTATGTTTTTCATAATACAGTTTTGACTTGTTTATTGTTTTGTGCCTGTTTATTGTTTTGTATTCTTTGTATATTTTGTAGTTATTTGTATATTTTGTAATTATTTTATTTTAATTATTAATATTTTAAAATAAAACTATATAATTAACTAAATAATAAAGCCTTGTTATACGTAATATATTTGCATTTCTCTAATTTTATAAATCGGCTTATAAGATAAAATAACAAACAAAAATTTATTTTAACAATTCAATATTCTCAAAACAACTTACTCATATTATTTTATTGCTTTTAATTAAAATCTTTATTCTAATTATTCTTTAATTTTAATTGTTTTTAAATTGCATTATATTTACGTTATAAAACTACTGTATTACGTTACAAAACTACTCTATTACGGTCTAGTAAACTGTCGTCTACTCATATATATATTTAATTAAAATGTATCTTTTCCATACATAAATATTCAAATAAGTTACGTAAATTTTTTTACAGTTTCTGCATGAACGGTTTCTCAGAAACCAGTAAAAATTTGCTGCAATAGGAAAAAAATAACAACCGTACCGATCTGAATCTGTATGGATAATATTATTATAATATGTCAGTGAAAAAAATATTTAATAATGGGGATACTATAAATACACAATAAAGTACGTATTTTTTATCAGACAAGTGTAAAAATAAAGAGTGAGAGAGTAATTAATCGGGTAAAAAGTTGTCTTTTGTTGTTTAAAATCACAAACGCGCCCACATCATTTTTCTTTGAAGATTTTCAACACGACGAAATGGTAAGAAGAAATATATATATTTTATACGCATTATACATAAGTTCTTTGCTTCTTAGAAATTCTTCATTATCAAATTTCTTCCTTTTTTTTACAAATTTTACAAGCTTAATTCGGTACTATCTTATCTTTAAGGCGTTTATCCATTATCAAATTTTCTTAACGATAGCAAATTTTAATTCTGTGATAAATGATATCTAAGCTTTCAACTTGAAAAAATTTATCTTTTGCATATCTTTGTATATAATAATTTAAAGAAATTCACAAGAGCGTTAAATTTTAATGGTGTTACTGCAGCATATATTATATATTATATATATTATATATATAATATATAATATATATTATTATATATATTATATATATTATATATTATATAATGTTCATATCGATTTTCTTCTCATACACGGAGAAAATTTTATATCAAAGTTACTATACTCGCGGAGTACTCGCGGACTATGAAGGAATTAATAAAATTTTTTACTATGTTTTTTATACGTGAAATATAGTGAAAATTTTTGGTCCGCGTCTTTATGGTCCGCGGTTACTGCCGTGCATAATAATTTTTTATATAAAATTTTCTCCGTTGTAAGGCGTTGTCAACTGATAATATTTCTAGTAATTGAAATTTATACTTCGAATGAATAAGAACGCAAACTAGAGATACCAGTTAAGTGACGTCATTTAACACGGCAAAAATCGATTATCGGTATATTTATCAACCGATAAACTTCTACGATGTACGATATCTTTAGATTTATATAATTATAGTACTTTCTTCCAGTTAAAATTGAGATGATTTGTGATTGATTAAAAGAATTTTGTACAATGCAAAAAATGCCATTTTAAACCAACAATAAAGTTATTGTTGATTATTGAAGTCGTAGTTAACAATCACAGTCTTTGTTCGAGGTGCAAATTTTTTCTGCCAGCTACAACCATTAGCACTTCTCAATTTAATAGACGTTTGGTTCTAATCACGTGTCGAGCATTCTTGCAACCCGCGCTTAGAGAATCTTCCGCAATAGAAATAAGAATGCAATGTGGAATTGTTTGAATAAACGCGCAGCGCAAGAAAGTGTGGAGTATTTGTGTCTGTTGGTGAGTGAGATACGTGCACAAGCTGAATAATCGGAATTAATTGTAGATGATTTATTGTCAATTAAATAGATTGTAACGATTCATGGTAAACGTTTCAAAAAATAGACACGTATTTTACACACACGCATATTTTCTATATCTACTCTCATGTAATTTTAAATATTATTTTTTCAAATGAGAAAATTTTTCTACCACGTTCGTTGACGGTTCCGCGGCAATTTTCACAAAATCAATCGAGACTCATAGCCGTTGTCATCATATTATAGTATTCGTTTTTATGAATAATCTTGCTACCGGTCGCTGGCGCGGCTGATGCAAGGCGACCGCCGTACTTCACTTCCTCTAATGGAATACCCAAGGCTAAGGCTATTCTATCTCTCACGTAATAGTAAGCACCTTGATTTTTATGCTCTTCTTGCAGCCACACAATCTGCATATACGTAATTTAAATGAAATAAGCGGTTTTTTTTATTTAACACAGTAAAAAAATATTTTTGTGCAGTAGAAAAAATAAATCAATTCGACGATCTCGAAAATTTCTCACTTTTGCTCGTGGATATTTCACCATTTCCATCGCGAGGAGGTGATACGGAAAAGGGCACAGCTGCTCGATTCTAATGATCGCTATCTTATCTTCCAATTGTTTCTCCTGTCGCTCAATAACCAAATCGTAATACACTTTCCCGGTGCACAGTAATACTTTCTGCATATTTCCAAGTTTCACGGCAGAGTCTGGTATAACGTGCTTAAAGCTCGTACCGGGTCCCATTTCCTCAAAATTTGATATCGCCATCGGATGGCGTAACAATGATTTGGGAGTCATAAGAACCTAAATGGCAAAAGATATTTATGCGATTCTAAATGGAAACGTTCTGTGAAATAAAAAAAAGAGGCTTTTATTCGAAAGATTAATTGCCACGACGATTCTTCCTAAATGGTGTCTTTCTCAAAACTTCACAGTTTCTACTTGAAACATTTTTTTCTAAAGAGATAATCATGCTTATAATATTTTTGGGAATATCACTTTATAACACTCGTGATAGGAATAATCCTGTACAAAATTGCACAGATAGAAAATTAACTATTATTAACTAGCTATTCCATCGTTTTGAAATTTGCGAGCCTAAACATCAAGTTAGAAAATTAACTAACCAACGGTTTCCGGAATGGCATCAATATCTGCCGGCGGAGAAGATGAAAGAGATTGGCAGGTGTCGTGGGATTACAGACGATCCAGTTTATCTCGAAGAGCTGTTTAGTCATGATTTGCTCAATGCTCTCGCCAGCTGAAACGCCGGGCTCTGTTCCGGGAATATGAGTGCATTCATCATCGCACAACTGAAGAAACCTTTCCAATCTCGCGGACGAATGTTCTGGTCCTTGATTCTCCATACCATGCGGCAGCAATAATACTAATCCTACCTGTCTGCCCCATTTGGCTTGTCCGGAGCATAGCAAGCAGTCTAGTACGACCTAAAGGCCAATTAATCGAGAAAATTGCCGAGTTCGATGAAAAATATTGCGACTAATTTACGGGATATTAACAATTAGGGACAAAGAGATCTTCAGCAAATCATTTTTCAGATGTGCATATAAATATAAAAGTCTCTGAAGTTTTATTTAATTTTAAATAAATTTTCAAGAAAAGGAGATATAAGTAAAAGTGTTAAGTTACTTGACAGGTATTGGCGAAATCGCCGAACTGCGCTTCCCAAAGTGTCAGAGCATTGTGATTGTACGCCGAGTATCCCAATTCAAACCCTTTTCTCGCCAATCGTTCATAAAATATTATTTATGATAAGGTATCATAAATTAATCAATCTTAACTCTAACTTAATGTCGATTAAATTTCGATATTGCACTATGATAAAGTATCATAAATTAATCAATTTTAACTCTAACTTAATGTCGATTAAATCTCGATATTGCACTGTCACACTTATTTTGCGACAACTATAATATATTCTCTATATTTGTCTCAAACTTATAAACCATAAAATGGAGTAATTTAACATTTCATCGAGCAACTACCCACGTTAATTGATACTCGAGAAACAAGATAAGCGTGTGTCTTCGATAATAAATAAAACAAACAGGGCAGAAATATAGCGTCACAAATAAGTAGCGCAATAGCCGGCGCTAATTAATTTCTTTTTTAAACTCACCGCACACGCCGTATTCCGATAATGATGAATTTGAGACGGTATACAATGCTTGTCGCGGAAAAACGTCATGGAGGATATTCTTGTAAATCTTGTCTTTACTCTGATCGTGAACAATATGTATACGTTGGGTAAAGGTACCACGCTCGACATCTTGGCCGGACAGTCTGACGTGATGACCTTCCTTCAGCAAGCTGACGAAGGCCAAACATTCCGCCATCGCCCAGTCAACTTGCCGCGACTCCATAAGTTTCGCTCGTCTGTCCATCGCTCTCAGTACCTACCCATATAAACTTTCACACTTCCGTTAAATCTGACAAGTTAGTAGTGATCGATAATATTCGGATCAAAAGTTTATTTTGAATCGTTGTTTAGCAAATTTTATAGAGGCAAAAAGAAACATAAGTCTAAAATCATTTCTCAAACGTAACTTTTAAAATAAATAAGTAAATTTTAAAGTAATTAAATATCGTATAACTAACTTGCAAGTGTGCTTCGATATCTTTAGGAGGAGTGGATATAGCAGTGCATATCGTTTTGATAGTTGGTATATCGATACCAGTTGGAAGTATCTTAATTTTCGGGCTTTGATTCGAGAAAAATTCAGTCCAGGGCACATCGTGCCAGTCTCTCATTTGCATCGAGCTGATGGTCTGGGCTTTTATGAACTCTTCCTCGCAATTATTTAAGTACTTTTCTGTTTCCTATGCGGCAAGCAAAAATTATGTATGTGTGTACATATATATGTGTAAGGTTGAACAAGCAGTAGATAAGCTAAAATTGTCTTTCGGAGAACCTCTTTAACAAAAGCCTCCGTTATCACTCCTTCCTTAAGAAGTTTGTCACTGTATATGGAAAGAACACTAGGATGAGCTCTTATACGTTTATACATGAGTGGCTGAGTTAACATTGGTTCATCCATCTCGTTGTGTCCGTTTCTTCGATATCCAACGATATCCAGCACTACATCGTTATGAAAGGTAGCCCTGGTATTATTTGAAATAATTCCTTCATTAAGTTTTTTAATTACTTAACTAATTCTGTTAATTTTTCAAGTTTTGCAGAATAAATACTTTATTCTAAATAATTTTCAGCTTTTATTGTAGCAATTGATAGAACGAAGATTGTTTGTCGAATCAGAATAATTTTTCCGTGCAAAAAATTATGTGAGTAGTTTCTGTTGCAGTATTTTAATTTTTAAGATATATTGTCAAAACGTTTACTAAAAATTCTCAAGGTTTAATTTAAAATTTAACATTAAATATTTTCATGAATGTAATTTCTGCTGACATGAAGCGTTAAATATCTCAAGCAATCTTTCATTGATAAGTGATATAATAAACACTGAGAATTAAGTGTTATCTTTGTCGCGATTACCGATACTCGCCGGCCACTTTACTGCAATAAGTCACTAAATCAGGATCATCGGCATGTATATGAAAAATAGGAGCGTTAACAACACGAGCTACATCCGTGCAGTGCTCACTGGATCGTGAATATCTTGGATCAGTCGTAAATCCAATCTGAAGTTATTAATAAATACTTAAAATTAATTAGAAATTTATCTCTTAATACTTTGCAGTTACTTAACATTGTAAATTTTATACTTTTTAGTTTAATTATAATTCTCGAATATAATTTAATATATATTATATAACAAGATTAAATAGATACAAATATTAACATCAATTATGTATTTATAACATATTAACATCGCGCGATTATATACATAATCTCATAAAAAACATGCTTCAAAAAAATTTTTTTTTTTTAAATTAAATTTAAATTTGATTAATTAAACTACGACTAAAATTAACTAGTAAAATTAAATTGAGGAAAAATTGTTAAAAATGTGTTCTGATTCCTACTTGATTATTAATCACAAGGTGTATGACGCCACCCGTTGTATATTCCGGCAGATTAGTAAGGTGCATTGTTTCATAAACAACACCTTGACCAGCAAAAGCAGCATCGCCGTGAACCAGTATAGCTATTGCCTTTTTACCGTCTAAGGAAATCAGCTTATTTGAAGAAGCCTATTATCGTCTATTAGAAAATGATATATTCTCAAGTTCGCGTCGATACATACATTTAGAGTCACCTTTCTCAACTTGCTCGGCGCGAACACGACCAACTATGACCGGACCAATTGCTTCCAAATGGGAGGAATTTGCCATTATAGCGTGAAACACTCTTTTCTTACTTCTACAAATCGATACAAAGAAAATGTTAACAATTTTCCTTTAAAGCCGTATCAGACTATACATTAGAGATTGAAATTGCGAAATAAAGATCAAAATTTGATTTATCAAGCTAAAGTGGACTAAGATTTAAATTATTTAAATCTTGATTGGCAATACATTGTCTGATACAGGCTGTACGATATTATATTTATAATTAAAAATAAACAGACTATGAAAATTGATACGCTTGATTTTCATATTAATTATAAGACAATTTTTATAATGGTCATTTTTCTCTTCACCTATCTAATAATATTTCCGAATGCGTCCCAAGATGATACTTTACGTCACCTGAGCCGAATCCCTCTAGAGCGATCGGATTGAATTGCGTGAATAACTGACTCATTGGTTTTGAGCATATGTTCACCAAAGTATTCAGACGACCGCGATGCGCCATACCAATAACTACAGTTTCTACTCCTGACAAGTCGCCCGGAAACGCAAAATGTGCAATAATTAAAAAGTAATCCTAAAGATTTTTTGGTAGTTACAAGGGATTGATATGTTGATTGAAAGTTTAGGAATTATTTGTTACCATTTTCCGCCGCTGTTTCTATGCATTCCGCCATGGCTGGTATGAACGATTCGCAACCTTCTAACCCGAATCTTTTCTCCGTACCATATTTTTTTGCCAGAAAATTTTCAAAAGTCACGGCTCTCATGATATTCATCCAAATCCATTTTCTGTGCTCCGTGGGTAGCTCCCAGGCACCCGGTATTTCAAACTTTTCCCTTAACCATTCTAACTAATGTAGAATATCTAATGTTTTTCATGTTTTTATATCCTTTTTACTATCTAAAAACTTACTTTAAATTTTTCAATATCTCTAACGATAATTCTTTTAACTTGTTACTTTTATCAATATTTAGCAATATTTAGCAAAATTTTAAAAAATATTTCAGAGTTAATCTATTTGGAAATAATTTTGATCATTATATATTTCTTATCCTTTTATCATTTATCATTAATTGTATTGTATATTATTAATATCTTAAAATTAATATTAGATATGCCATTGTATCTGTCGAGTGTTTGATAATATATACTCATAGTTTTTTTCTGCTCTGTAGCAGTTTCATAATCTAATCTGCATTTTTATCGTACATCTCATCAAAAATACGTAGTGAAACGCGAGATATCGTCACGCATTTAAGTGCGAATTATCATTGGAACATTTCTCGCAAAAAGTGAAATTAATTAATAAAATATCACATGATACATATGCGTACCATATTCAGGTCATGAATGTACGTGTATTCGAGGCCAAGATGACCGCAGTAGACCTTGTTGAGTCTTATTAATATTTCTCGCAGCGGTAAGCTCTTTTTCTCACCGCCGATAACAGTGAGAGACGAGAGAGGAAACTCTCGGTCCATGTCCGCTTCTGTCATGCCCTTGAGATGATGCCGTACCACAATCGCGGGCGGCAAGTTAGGGGTACCTTGCAATTTTGCCGATTCCGGATTTTGTATACCCAGTGGATCGGTGTTGGCTATTAAGTGGCCACGTGTCTTGATAAAATAAAAGAATAAAAGAATATCAATATATGTGTAAGAGGCACACAATGTATTTGTGAGATTTCCAAGGGTGTACTTGATAAGCTCGGATCGTGGAATTGATATCGAGTGCACTGTTTATGTATTGATCTCCTTGCATCTGACTGTCCGATTTCCCCCGAACGGATTCTTTCATAAACAACGGCTCTATTAAGTATTTATTTATTAATAAATTAATGTATATTATTTTTCAAATGCACAAAAAATATATATAATACTATTAGTTTTTAATTGTTTTGTGTGTTTAAAGAAAAAGAATTAACAATTCAATAGCAAAATGTTAGCAATGTTGGCGGATCGATAGCGAATTTGATCAAATATGCTAACATATTGCTAACATTTAGCTATCTGGAAAATTGTTGAAATAAGCTCACTGTTCGATTGCCCTCCTTCTAACTTTGATGCCATTAACTTAAGCGGCGAATTGACACGAGTTGAACTGGATCCGGTTTGGGAATCCTTAGAGCTTTTAGCGTGCATTAATTTAAAATACGAATCCCACGAAGAGTTCACGGACTTCCGATCTTTGAGCCATAATTTGTAAATGTAATCCAAGTATTTACTGTTGATCATATTAAGCACGTTATCTTTCCTATTGGCATTGTCGTCATGTTTACAACGCGTTGGATTCTTGTGCAAGAACTTGACATTTGGTTTATACTTAAATATTTTCAAGTTCGAGTGCGAATAATGTGTGAATTGTCGATATAAATATGATACGACAGACTGTATGTTCCGATAAGATTGTGGTCTCGAGTACATTGCCCCATTTAGTGCAACGAATGAATGCTAAAAATGTAACACCACGCAGAACAAATAATCGAGAAATCACTGAATAATTTTGAAAATTGATTTTACAAGCAAAATGACTGAAAGAATGATTTTATATACGGCATCACTCTACGACATTGTGACATTTAATCGCGATTAACCTTCCGAATTTTAAGGTTCGTGCTATAATTGTAGCTAGATTCGCGATTGATCTTCGCTTCGAATGATAAGCTTGAAACTTCAATAAATAATATCATTATATATACAACAAAAGGTACTTATTGGTAGATCTGCAAATGATAATTGAAAATTCACATTTCTTATTGTAATTATAATCGCAGAAGCAAAAAATATTCTGTGAAAATCATATTTTAAATTAAAGTATATCTTTTTTACTTCAAATACATTAATTTATCTAAATAAAAAAATTTTCTTCTGTATTACCGACGCGTAATTTAATTAATTTAATAATAAAACTTAATTTAAATAAAAATTAATAAAACACATTTTTTTACAGGGTGCTACACCTTCAGCGCTAAGCGATCACAGAATTGTGAAGATAAACTCTGCAAATGATCAATTGGAAACGCATTTTATCAGTAATCGAGTCATATCACATAAGGTACACACTTAATATTTGCTCTTAATCTTTAAAATAAATATTGACTTGATAAAGTATTAAAATATTATTGACATTTTAATTACCAGTCAGCTGATATCTCAAAAATACATAAGTATATATCAACGATTATCGCCATTCCTAGAATGTTTCCATGTCTCTAAAAATAACATAGTGATATTAATCGCTTTATCTCTGTAATCCACAGTATACAATATGGAACTTTATTCCAAAGAATCTCTTCGAGCAATTCCGGCGGATAGCAAATTTTTATTTCCTGCTGACGACAATAATCGCGATTGCAATAGAATCGCCTATTTCGCCAGTAACCAGTGCTTTGCCTTTGTCATTCGTCATCCTGGTGACTGCGATTAAACAAGGATACGAAGATTACCTACGATATAGAATAGATCAACGAGATAATTGGAGATCTGTTAACGTTATCCGCAACAAATGCTCGCAGGTTTGTTGTTCACACTAAAAGTAACATCTTAATTAAAAATTTGATAAATTTTAACATAATATTCAGTAATGTTTATTGTAAATTGTTGTGACAAATTGTTGAATTTCTCGATTTCATGTGAAGCCTATTCATGTTGTTGCATTCACTATACTGCAAAGCGTTACAAATAATGTGTACGATATTTCAGAATATATATTGCGAACAAATAGTAGTAGGTGATCTTGTAAAAGTCTCCCGAGACGAAGACGTACCTTGTGATATCGTTCTTCTTTATAGCGAGACACCAGGATGTTGTTATGTCACGACATCTAATCTTGATGGAGAAACAAATTTAAAGGTAACGATCTTTATCTAATCTATTCAAAGTAAATATATCTATATATAATTTTTTTATGATACAGCAAAAATTTTTATCGTTAAATATTAAAACATTTCTTATTACTGTTTGTTATCAATATATATTTTTAGACGTTACTTGTTCCGAAAGTGGTCTCAAAAATTCCACTTTCAAATATAGTAGCCATGGAAGCGACGATCACATGCCAGCATCCTCTGGCTAATCTTTACACCTTTCATGGCAAACTCGAAATTAATAACGGTAACGAGACGGCCAGCGGACATTTGACAATAGATAATCTTTTGCTGCGCGGATCAAGAGTGAAGGACACCGAGTATGTGGTTGGCTGTGCGGTTTATACCGGACAAGACACAAAGCTGTCACTGAATTCAAAAGTAGTCTGCAATAAATTTTCAACTGCCGAGAAGTAATTATTTGAACTTCATTTGCATACACTTGTAAAAATTCAATTGTGATTCTGCTTTCGCCGAGTGTCCTCGCACATTTGTTATCGCAATTACCATCTTTAAGAGCGCTGTAAATCTTTTAAGCAATATTTCCAATTGGAGCAAGCTGTTGTTTAGACTTACCTTAAAAATTATCATTCGCAGATCTATCAATAAGTATCTTGTTGTATACATAACGATATTATTTATTGAAGTGATAATATCTCTGATGATGAAGCTATACGTTGAATCCTACGAAGAATGGGACAGTTACTTGGGTGCACGACCTGAAATCACCTTTTCTTCCATATTTACGGATATTCTGGGCTTTCTCATCTTATTCAATTACATCGTGCCAATATCATTGTATGTCACCGTTGGTAAGACATTACTATTTGCACAATTCTTTTTTATTTAACATCATATTATTTATGCACACAAGTTAAAATATTAATTAATAATTAATACATTCAATAATCAATTTATCATTAGTAGTTAATTATCTAATAATGCAATAATTATTTTAAATAATGTAAAATATTTTGCATAAAATATCCTGCATAAAGATTTATACTTATAACGTTCATAAAAATTCTAATAATAATTCTAATAATAAAGATTTACATGCATTTCTTCAGAGCTGCAAAAGTTTCTCGGCTCTTTTTTCTTTTACTGGGATTTGGACTTATACGACGCGGCCAATGATCAGCCGGCAATGGCCAACACATCAGACTTGAACGAAGAGCTTGGTCAGATTGAATATTTGTTTACTGACAAAACCGGCACGCTCACTGAAAATCTGATGGTGTTCAGACGCTGCTCGATTGATGGGAATATATATATGGAAAAAGATTGCGACGGAAATCTTTATCAACTGCCGCCGAGCGGAAACGAAGCGGAGGCTGTTAAACTGATTTCATGGCAGGTAAACTCACAAATAAAAAGAGAAATATTATTATTATCTATTAAAAAAAAATTATAACATAACTGCTTTCAATTAAAAAATATAGTTGATTAACTTAATTAATATAAAAGGTTGATTTGATAAAGTGGAAATTATATTAGTTATCGTATCGTTAATTATTTTCAAATATTTGTAATAATTAATATTATACTGTACTTGTCAAGAATAATAATTTTGGGATTATTATGTAGGCGGAGATTTGGCACTTCATGATAAGCATTTCACTGTGCCACGTAGTTCAAATTGCGCCACCAAGCCAACGTCCCGTAATCGTGGCCAAACGCAAAAGTTTTCGCGAGAGCTTCAGACTAAAGAAAATCACTAGAGTCAACAGCTCATTGATGATGGATCCGGATTTACCAGAATATCAGGTAATAATAACTCATGCGCAAATACCTCAGCGTGTTTTTTTTATCGAATGCTAATCACTTCTGTTTACGATGGATTGTGAATGAGCACAATTGCATTCATATAAAGTACAAACATACATAACATATGGCAGGCAGCATCAGCAGACGAAAAGGCATTAGTGGAAGCGAGCGCCAGATGCGGCATTGTTTTTCAAAAAATACGAACGAGGAAATGCATGTCAAGATCAATGAAAATCTGTTGGTTTTCAAGAAGCTGGAAATACTGGAATTCAGCTCGGGTACGTGATCGCGAGATCAAAATAGATCGATGTTAAATGATAATTAAAATATATTACATGTATTAATAAAATAATATTAATTTGTAAAATAATCAATAAAATATCATTAACATCATATATTTTGGACAGAACGAAAGAGAATGTCAGTGATAGTGGAAGATTCGGCGGGTGATATCTGGCTGTATTGTAAGGGTGCGGATTCAGCTATTCTTCCACTGATTGTCGAAGGAAAAGTTCAAGAAACTGCCGTTCACGTCGCCGATTTCTCTATGGTTCGTTATTTCACCCATTTGTATTATTTTTTCAATTTAATATTATCTAGTTTTAATATTAAGCATTTGAACTACTAATATATTTTTGTCTCTTTTTAAATCAGGAAAATGTTACATATTGCACTCTACATTAATGGAGCTTGTTAAATTTTGTAATTTTTAGAGAGGTTTGCGAACGCTAGTGGTAGCATACAAGAAGATGAACAAATCTGAATACGAAAGACTATTGCAAAACATTGAACAGGCCAGGCAAATAATCGGCACAGAGCGAACGACAAATATGACGCGCGCGTACAATCTTATGGAAAGCGGACTCGTTTTACTCGGAGTAACCGCGGTGGAAGATCGCCTACAGGACGATGTGCAAGAAACCTTGGAATCTTTACGAGTTGCTGGCATCAAAGTTAGTTCATTACCGCATGTTTCATGCAGATTCGTAATTTTTTGCTGCCCAATACAATTTTCGAGTCATATATTTTATTATCCATTTGCCGACTTTTAATATTACAGTATAAAAGCCATTTTTTGGCACCTTTATAAGAAAACTTATTTATTTTGTGCACTTTATTTTTGTGTAATAAAGTCATGAGTTTTTTGTAAAGTCATGAAAGATAATTCGGGCAACAAAAATTTGAGAGCAATCCTAGTTAATTGAATTAACTTCGACAGCTAATTATAAATATATTGTTTAGATATGGGTGCTTACCGGAGATAAAGCAGAAACTGCGGAAAATATCGCTTTTCTCTGCGGCCATTTTAAAACAGGGACTGAGGTTTTAAGACTGATGGAGGAGACTTCAGGGCACACCTGCTTCCTTATTCTTACAACTTTTGAGTAAGTGTAATTTATATGTTTAAAATTATCTCTTTGTTTTATATTCTATTATGTCTGTTGCCTGTTGTTTCTTTTCTTTTACAAGATACTACAATCTCTGATTTGTTCGTCAATTTATTTGTAGAAACATCACGGAGAGGAAGCTAAAAGTTTTAGTGGCACTCTTTTATCGCTTAAAATGACGTCACCTTCTCTAATCTACATAGTCGGCATACTTTTTGCTCGCTCATAATTTAATTTCCATAAAGTGGTGTTTTAAATTTTTTAATTTTTATTCTCCAATGCTCTATATGTCCATCCTTGTCATTTCCTTAACGTCTTTTTTTATCTTTTTCTTAAATACATGTGTTATATCTTTATTTTACAGACGAAAAGTGAAATTAGACCCATACAAGCAGTATGGGTTGATAATAGACGGTACGAGTATGACAGCGACGTTACGAAATTGCCCGGAATTATTTAAATCCGTCGCAATGGCTTGTGAAGCGGTTGTCTGTTGCAGGCTGACGCCCTTGCAAAAAAGCGAGGTTTGAACAAAACTTGAATGTTTCCAATTTTAATATAAGCGCTTCGTACGTAAAATTGTATGAAAATATGAAACGCAACTTGTCTGTGCAGATTGTGAATCTAATAAAAATGGCACGGAATCGTCCGCACACCGCGGCTATCGGCGACGGCGGTAACGACGTCTCTATGATACAAGAGGCGCACGTGGGGATCGGAATATTGGGGAAAGAAGGTCGCCAGGCATCGATATCCGCAGATTTCGCGTTCACAAAATTTATGTACCTGAAGAAAGCGTTGCTGGTGCACGGACACTGGTATTACCTGCGCATCAGCATCCTAATGCAATATTTTTCTACAAAAATATAGTGTTCATAACGCCACAAGTGTTGTTCGGAATACATAATGGCTTTCGACGCAGGTGAGAATAAATTGTATTATTTTGTCGCGAGATATTGCGTGATTTATTTTTGAAATATACGTCGAAAGTAGTATAGCTATGTTAGTTCTAACTCAGAAGCAATGAGGGGGGTGCGGGGGAAGAGGGGGTATCAGGTTACAGTGGAAGGGGGTAATGACGTCATCGTTTTGGAGGAGAGGGGGTAATGACGTCATCGTTTTGGAGGAGAGGGGGTAAAATTGGAGTGGAGGGGGTGACGAGGGAGGTGCGGGGGAGAGGGGAAGGTATCAGATTACATCAATTCCTGGAAAAGATAAGATAAGGATTGTTTATACAAACATCAATTCCTGGAAGAGATAAGGATTCCTGGAAAAGATAAGATAAGGATTGTTTATACAAACATGAGTCATTGGAAGATAAGGATTCCTGGAAGAGATAAGATAAGGAATGTTTATACAAACATGAGTCATTGGAAGATAAGGATTGTTTATACAAAAATGATTCATAGTTCCGAGAATTGTTTATATCCTTTGCATGCACATGCAGGTTTTTTCTACGCATCAAAGTAGAGCGCCTGTTTAAATTACATCATCGCTATTTTTAGAACCTTTGCAGGCATTTGCAGGTTCGTGCAGGTTTATAGATTACGTCATCGCTATTTTTAGAGCAAAAGCCCATTGCAACAGGCAGCCACGTCAGTATTTTAGGTGCCATGTTGTCAGATTTCAATTTTGTGTGACATCATCGCTATTTTTAATTAGTGTCGTGTGCAACAAGCGGGTATATAAAGCCCGCGAAGAACGAGTGGTATAACAGTCAAAATGTTCATCGCACTCTTGGATGAACGCGATATTCTCAATTTAACAGCTGCGGAGTTAGAATTTGTGCCGAAGGTGATTTTATTAAACAAGTTTGCTCGGTTCGTGGACCAAGTGTGGGAGAAACTTCCGGATCCACTCTTACGTGTTCCGGATGTTTGTATAAACAATCCTTATCTTATCTTTTCCAGGAATTGATGTAATCTGATACCTTCCCCTCTCCCCCGCACCTCTCT